GCACCCTGACTGGGGCAGGGTTCAAACCTGCAGCCCAGGTAATTGCCTTTGACTGAGAATTGAACCTGAGACATTTTGGTGCTTGGGGTGACACCACTGAGAAACATCAGCCAGAGCTCAGGTTGCTTTTAATATCCCTCAACATACTGAATATAACTGAAAAAAAAAAAAAAGTTATAGCAACATTATATGAAAATAACAATCATAGTGTAATCATCCACAAATATCTATACAGAGGTATGAATTATTTCTAGCAGGCATGTGGAGGGCAGCTGGGTTGGAGGTCATGGGACTTATGGTGACGGAGAAGTGCATTAACATTTCAACGCTTGCCCCATTCATTTACGGATCACATAAATCCCAGGAGTCTGTTACTTGCTGTTTTCTCTTTTATACCAAGCACAGGGCCTGTCAGCAGAGATGATGGTCTATTTATAAGTGAGGAAGACACTGATGTGTACTAAGGACTAGTCACCATTTTCAGAAGCCTAGCACTTTCCACATCCTTTCAGAGGCTGGAGTGAGCAGGTGGGGCCCAGCGGAGTAGAGGTTTCCAAAAGTATTAGAACCACAGTGTTACCCTCGTCGGCGCTGGGTAGTGTAAACTAGTTGATTTGCACAGATGCTGTGTTTCCCTGGGACCCTTATTTTAATACTTTATTAAGTATTAAAACTTTGCAGAATGGTGAAAAGTGGACATTAATTTGAACGTTTCCTCTCATCCCCTCCACCCCCCCTTCATTTTTTGTTGCTATTGGTGTGATTGAGTAGGAGCTATTTCCCTTTTCTAGGAGGGAAATACTCCACATTCCAAGGTCTTGATCTGTGGCCACATTCTCTCTCTAGTACTTTTTACTCATGGCTCATTTTTGAGATGCTGACTACAAAACGGTGATTTTCCTTCACAATTTAGCTTTTAGCAGGAAATCTGGCTGGGAATAGCACATCTAGATGTGACTCCTAATGTTCTGGTTAGAAAAATACTAAGGCTAGAAGCCAGAATGTCTTATTGTATTGATGCTTTTATTTGTTCATGTTGCAGCATATTACATTGTATTAAGAGAAAATTCATGTTGAGTGTTCAGCAAGATGATAGGTGCATATACGTAATCTTAGTTCTTCAGTTTTTCATTCTGGGCTTTGCTCTAAGAGTGTGACCTTCTCTGCTTCCTTCTTTCATGCACTCCAGAAAGGAGACCTAGTGCTTCCTTACCCTGTTCTGAGTTGTCTTTTACATCTCTGCTGCCTCCTAGGAACCGTTGCTTTACATTGTTGCATGTAAGCTTTGACTTAATGAACAAGTAATTCCCCTCAAGTTGCTCTCAGGAGGGTGTCCCTCCATTTCCTGTATCACAGTCAGGGCTCCCTGGCTTTTTCTAATGGATCTTGTAGGTGTGGTCAGTATCTAAAGAACCTTGAGACCCCAAAAGCACCGAGGGAGGGAAAACATCTTCAACATTCGCACAAAAGCCTGTGTGTGCGTGCGTGCGTGCGTGCGTGCGTGCGTGCGTGTGTGTGTGTGTGTGTGTGTGTGTGGTGGTGGTGGTGGTGGTGTGTGTGTGGAAGCAATGCACAGGAAAGGATGGTAGTTTTTAAATGCAGATTCTTAACTTTTGCCTAGAATGGAAAAGGATGTTCTTTGGAATGATTGTTCAGACCTAAAAGGTGTTACTTATGGAGGGGGAGGTTGAAAAGAAATGCTCTTGTGCATTCAGATTCCTTTTCTTCTTGATGTGACTGCTGTTGGGCTATTGTAGTATATTTAAGTTTTCCTGTGAACAAAAGGGTAAAAATAATCTCATTGTTAAGCCTCATTTAAGGAAATTGTTCTCCATTAAAATTCAGAATTATGTTTATAGATCAGGTGTATAAAATTTATCCTTTTCAATGTCAGAAAAGCCTTTTTAAAAGTTTTGACATGCTTAACTTAGCATTTAAAAAATATTGTAAGGACCAAACATTCTCTAACTCAAATGACCCCAGAGTTAACTACAGTGACTTGGTAGATGATCTGTTAATACTTAAAGTAGGGAATTAAGCAGACAAGCAAATATGTTTAAAAAATAAGGCTTGAAATAGCAATTTTTTATTTGAATTAGGCTTAGTATTTGAAGTCTGTTCTGAATGCCTAAGTGAGAAAGCTTATCTTGTTAAACTTGTTTTAAGCAGATACTGAGTCATTGATTAAGGTCCCTGAATAGTATGTACAAATGGTCATTGGCATTAAAGGAGAAAGGGGTTTAGCACGTTTTGGTCATTCTACAAAACAGGGTCTCATTAATGTTGTGATGTGGAAGGGATGGAGACTCCAGCCCTTGCTGAATGCTAAGATCGGGACTATGCCAATACGAGGCTAGAACAAGTTTTGTCAGGAACAGTAAGTGCTAGTTAGCATTGGAGGGCAGCTTCTTGGTGCGCCTGAAGGCAGTTTGCTGCTGAATTGTCTTGGGCCGGAGAGCCCTCGCCTGGCCAAGGATGGTGTGTACACACCTCGTCAGTTTTCCTTGGTTTAGAACCAAAGCTTCACATTTGTGAAGCCAGTGAGTTATGTAGAATAAATTATGAAAATTCAACTGAATTTTTATCATATTTTTAATTTTTTTCGAACTCAAATGACTTCTCTACTTTTGTTAACTTGGTTTTTTCTACCATAGGTCTCAACAAATGGCAGCTATTACATCAGACAGTGGCGAACCCTGCTGCTCCCTTACAGTGTCTGACAGACCACTGTGGATTCAGACCGGGAGCATTGACGTTAACAGTGAGACGGGCAGGTCTGTCTGTGTTCAGCCCTGCCACAGAGTGAAGAGGGCACCATGTCATCACTCGATCATTTCCAAAGTAGATGAGGCTAGCTGTAAACGGATTCATTAGTTCTTTTTCCTTAGCCTTCATTGGTAGCTGCGTATCCCTCATGTAGGTGATCGTTTTAATGAGTCATATTAACTTTTCATTTCGTATTACCTGCTGTGCTGAAAAGTAGAGCCAGTCTCCTTCGAGCTTCCAGGAATTTTTCCTATGGTGGTAGAAGTTGGGTGTCAGATTGTAGGATTATGCCAAATGCAACCGAGTCTCCCTGGATGTTCAAATATGTTAATTTCCTTTATCTTTTCACTATCTCAACCTTTGTCACTTTCAAATTCATCTCTCTAACTTCGTAGTCATTTCTTCTTAATGTATATATAAGAATATATATATACTTACATATATTAGTTAATCTCAAAACTATCATTTACAACTCAGTGGGTGGTAAGAGTGTGGCAATGTAGTTGTAATCTATTTAAGCACATTTATGAAAACCTTGGGTAATGCCTGAAAGGCTTATTTTGGGCTCTTAAACAGGAGGAAAGGTTTAGGGATTCCATTGTGCTGCTTTTGAATTTTCGATTTTGATTTTCTGAATAAAGGCTATTCATTGGGCTGTATCGCTGCATGAGCTGTAATTTGCAAGCTGGGTAAAATGGCACATTTTGGATCAGAGGTTGAGGTTGGGAAATTATGGATTCTTACCTGTATAGGTGTAGCAGCTACCCTTAAAATGATCTCTTGAGGGAATAGCATTTTTTTTTTCTTTTTGTACCTCATGAATAGTAAGATCTGCTACAATCCTTGACTTTCCTGCCAACTTGAATAGGCCTCACTCAGATTGAAGCTAACTATTGACAGTTGTAAATAGGAAATGGAAATGTACATGGGATTGGCTAGTTACTATTTTTCTCCTTAAATATATAAAAAGGATATTTACTACCAAAGTTCTGAGTATTATATTAGTATAATTCTAAATATTTATTAGTATTATATTAGCAATTATACTAATATTAAACTAATATCTTAGTTTTAGAAAATAAACACTGCTCTTAGCTAAATGTGAAATTTTAAGTGTTAATCATTCTGGTCCTTCAGAAACAGTAACTACACTCACCTTCCACTCTGTTGTGTGCTGTGTTTATGGCTAGAAGTAATTTTTCATTGTTTAGGAAGATAGAATGCCCAGTGGAATTTATTTATAGGCTTTGGTCCCGTAAGTGAATGAAGCATGGCAACTGTTGGAAATTAACATAGAAAAAGAGTTCTAGTGGAGTGGGAAAGGTGCCTACTGTGAAATATTTGGAAGTTACATTTTGGGAAGAATGGGGATTTTCCTTTTCTTTTTGCATTCTGTATTTGTTTTGTCTGTTATCCCACTGAAAATACCACATCTTTGGTTTAAAAATACATTTGACCAAAAAACTCATTGTTCTCTCCACAGATCACCTCTTTTGGAAGCCAAATTCTATTTGGTACTGGGGACTGTAGAGGATTTCAGTGGGTTTTTTCCATTTGTGCTATTAAAGGCGGGTTGGCATGTTAGGCATTCTGGTCACGGTATTGGGTAGTAATTTTCATAAGCCTTGTCCTTCCTAATGTTCTGTTCAGAGTCCTGCTTTTTAACCAGTGTGCACAAGTTGTCTTCTAGGACAAAATGGTGCTCTTGATGTCTCTGATGTTCGTGTCTACCTTTGGGGAGTTACCCCTCACTCTTTTTTTTTTTTTTTGCGCTTTGCACATGCGTGGACAGTGTGATCTGCAGCGGATTCTGACAGCCAGGTTTTGTAGATACATGGTTCTAAAGTCTGTAGGTAGCCTGTGCTAAAGCCAGGCTGCTGGTGCTTCACGGCAGTGCACAGCAGCTAAGCTGGCTCACAGCGTCTCGTGTTGTAACTGTGAATGGCGGTGTAAAGAACAAAGCTGCCATTCCTTCTTAAGAAATTTTCCAGTGCAGATTGGCAATGTGAAGATGACAACCATTTTATTTCTGTTGGAAAGAACACGAATGCTTCTGCTGGTTTAGAGTGGTAGTAAGTTGTTTTCTCAAGAATTGGTAAAATTTAACTGATTTAAAATAAAAAATCAGTTGTGATCTCAATCTATATAGGACTTAATTAAACAAGGACATCACTTTTCTCATATAATTACTTGTGCTTAACTACATTTTCTTCCTTTTCTTTACTATATTTCAGCACAAAGACATTAGCAGGCTGCTGGTTTCATGGACCTGTACCACAATGACACAGAGAACACCAGAGCACCAGGACTGAATGAAATTGGAGACAGATTTTTAAAGCTGCACTAAGAAGTAAATGTTCAGGCAGTGGTTAAAACCAACAGTCTCTAAGGGGCACCTGTAAATTGTGCTATATAAAACCGAAGGAAGGTATTAGGGGGAATGTTTTCTAAAACAAACTTTTGCAATAAATTATGCATGAGTTGAGGAGAAAAGTGATGTGAATTCGCACCTAAGCACTCATTTTATGTGCGAAGACAGTAACTTCTTTTGATTGTGAAGTTCTTATTAGGAGTTTGGACAGACCTAAAAGGCATGGGTTGATGGCAGAAATGTTGAATTATCTTTCATACTAAAACTTTGTTCTTTCCCCAAGGTTTATGTTACTCAGTTCAAATATGAGCAAAGGTATTTCTAAAATGACTCGCCTGTGGAACCAGTGGTCACATGCTGAGGCCAGTGTTTCCCTTCAGGGCACCCCTGGGAACGACAGGAAAGATTAATATCATCCTAAAAGGATGGCACGGTACTCCCACCCCCAAAATTTGGACGTTTCTTTCTTTGATAAAGCAGGGCTGAATTTCCTTAATACATATTAAGATGTCTTTATCTGCCACCAGTATTTAACATTTTGTGTTCATTTTCATAATCCCATTCTTCTAAATTCTGAGTCAGAGTAGATAGGCTAGTGTTGAACTCAGAGTGATGTATACTCTGAGAGCTAGTCCTGAAATCTGAGCTGGAAAGGCGTTTACTCGTCCTATCATTACTGATTTTATTTAGATCCCAAAAGGTGAAAAGTCTAAATTCTGATGTGGCGCTCTCCCCCCAGAGAGCTGCTCCTCCTGTGTCAGTGCAAGAAATTCTCACAGGTGTCAGGTGAGGCTTATCCTTGGGGAACTAGCAGCAGAAAGATGGTGTCAGGCTGTTCATGAATTCTTATCTTTGGAAAATACGTATTATAAAAAGAAACCTTTTTCTTTTTAATGAGCGGAGATAACCAGATTGACCTGTTAGTGCTACATTTTTAAGGTATTTTATATTTGATGGTGCCGTACTTTCAATAATAATAAAAACTGAACTTTTTTAGTGGCAATACCAATTTATTTTTTAAACCAGAAAGATAATTCTTATTGATTACTTAAAAAACAAAAAAGCCAAAAAACAATTCACTTAAAGTAACATAACTAAGCATTTGGCTTAAGTGTTCAAACTTTACATAATCTTACTGTTTAGGTTTGGAATTAACTCCACACTCAGGATTAATAAAAGGTTCTGGGGGGAGTTTTAGAAGATTTAATATACCTAAGGACTTGTTTCACAACTCAAAGAAGAAAAGGTAGGCACTCTTGTTTCTGTGAGTTTAATGCAAATTCTAATTACACTGTAAGTAAAAAAGTTGTGATTGAATTCTAAAATTCTTTTTGGAAAAGTATTTATCATGAAGTCATTATTCATATGATGAAATCTGAAAAAGCTCAGGAACAATGCCAGCAGGGAGTCCCAAGATTACAGGCCTCAGTGGCACCAGACTCTCTGCCCATCTTGTCTTAGCTGTATGACCACCAGCAGTACCTTCCAGACTCCCTTCCAGAACCAGACAACTCCTGCCATGTGAGTTGTATAAGCGAGAGTTTTAAGTAAGCTTTAGCGTTGTTTGTGCAGAGTGATGGAAATGATAAAAGGCAAAAAAAAAATAAAAAAATTGAGAGATCAGGCTTTAAGGATCTACTTTTTTTCCTCATAAATTCTCAAAAGGTGTTTTGTTATAAACCAGATTTTCATTAAAAAAAAAGAAAAGAAACTTGGTGGTATTTAAAATCTAGGACATACCATGTTGCTATTTCACTTTCATTGCTTTAGTTGCTTAATATTTAAGCTATGCTTCATGCTACCTTTGTATTTCAAATCTTCAGAAGCCTATTTCATTTTGTAGACTTGAATGACAACTTTGTTTCTCATCTAAAGTATGCTGAGACATAAATGTTAAAAGAATGTTGTGTAACATCCAATAAAGTCTGATATTTTTAAAAATTTAATTATTTATAAACTATTTACTTCATAGAAGTCAGGTTTTAAAGGTTATTTTTTACTCACTATTGAAATTCAACCACTAGTTGTGGAGCTGTTTTAAGTAGCATCGCTTCCTTAGGAGAACCTGTAAGTTCTTAGTCACTGGAAGGATTTTATGGGACTTCTTTATGTCTGTAGGAATGTGAATGATGGAAACAAATATCTACTGGTGGGTTGGTTGGTTGTTTAAAGGAGTCCTGCCCTTATGGATAATTGGTGCTTCTTTAAAAGCCCTGCACATCCAATGTGAAAGTGAGGTCAAGTGTTTGATCAGAAACACTACGCTGTTAGGGAAAAAGTAGCCTCTTAAAACTTACCAGACAATTGAAGTTTTTCAGCACTGACCCAAAAACTTAGGTCAGTGTGTGTATTTTTTCCATTTGTGTAAAGCAATCCTTTGGAAGGCTGCCAGTTTTTCCAGAGTATACATGGAGTCTTTAATTGCAAACATTCTCCCATTTCAGCTTATCTAAATGAGTGTAGAAAGAAGGCCACTGGAATCTGGTAATATCTTTTCTTCCTCAAGTTTCTCATTAATGATAAGAGAGCTAGAAGCAGGGAAGGTAAAGAAGCCATGAGCTCAGTATTTGGAAGGCCTACACGAGACCTTTTCCTCCTACCTCCATACCATGGTATCCACCTAATGGTGTCATGACATGTGCCAGTATGTTTACAGACACAACTCCTACAAAATACAGGGAATGAGGGATGCAACCCATGGGTACACTTAAGATCTTTGGGTGCTGTCTTCAGATAAGGAAATATAAGTTCATATTCATGCCCAGGAATCATGTGTGGACTGTATCGGCACCTCCCTGGGCATGTCACTGTGGCTAGAAGCTGTTTTACTGCTTTTATAGTTCATTTTTCTCTTTAAAGTAATGATTCCTCCCTCAGTACTCAAATGGAGCATGCTGTGTTTTTAAAGCATACTTTTCTCTAGTGATGAGTGTCTTGCCAAATCTCTGCTTATTCACAATGAAATTTCATGGCCTAACAACGCCTTTGCTTAGATATCAAGAAGGTAATGAACCTGGACTGAAAGAAGATACAACTTAGGAAAACTGTGCCAGAGGAAGGAATAGCTGGCCAAACACAGAGGCCAGGACATTGTCCTTAAGAACACTTCTGGGTTAGCCCTTTCGTTCCCTCGTGAGGCATGTGAGAAGAAGCTTCTGACATGGGTTCTAATCTTAGTTCTATCTTCCTGACAGAAGAACCAGGCCTGGCCACGCTGGCCAGAATGGGGTGTAGAAAAGAAGTGTCTCACTCAAGCCCTTCAGTTTCTACTTAGCCAAGGCCCAAAACATGGGAGACAAAGGAATCTTTCCTTGAGCAAAATGTTCTACAATCTTGTATTTTTGAATTCTAAGCTCAGCCCCCTGACTCATGTGGATCCTAAGTCAAAGCAGAACCCTGTGCTCTGAAGAACAGGATCAGCAGCGTGTCCAGCGAGAAGAGGTGGAGGGAGACGAATGTGTCTGGCCCCAGCAGAGCATAGCTGGCCTTCAGAAAGAGACCACCTAACAGAAGGCAGTGACAGGCAGTCCCTCACATGTTTAAATGCGGCTGCTTTCATGCCTGTGGGGGCTGGAAAAGCTTTTGCAGCAGAAGCTGAAGCTGTAGCTCCAGCCTTTGATGCCAACTTCGCCAACGGCAGAGTCCAATACAAGTGCTACACAGCCCGAGCCAGTTATCAGACCTTTCCTTCCAGCTGACTTCGTGAGGCACATAGCTTTCTATTTTGGGACCGTCAAATCACCCCGGCAAGTCCTGTCTTCATCTGTCGCGATACCTGAGCTTAGCAGCCCCAGTGCCCGATAGGAGTTCCCACTGAGAGAGGCCATGTTTTTTAGCCAGCCAGAAACGAGTAGCTGGGACTGAGTCAGCCACAGATTGTTAGCGATGGGCTTCCTTGGCAGTGGGGCAGCAAGCCCTGCTTTTAGCTAAGGGGAAAGGAACCGTAAGCTTCCAGTTTCCCCTTGAGTGAAAGGAAAAAGGTGGGGCATCTTCTAGTTCTGGCTGACAGAACCTGTGTGATGGAACCTATACCTAGATGGTGGATGCCAGAGGGTTGGAAAATGGGAAGAAAACAGTATTTTTGTTGTGGAATATTTCACTTACAGAGTTACAGCAGGATAACAACTTCATGTACCCATCCCTAGCTTCAATCAGCTAGTAGCCAGGAAGGCTGAAATTTCTGATGCTTTGAAATATAGTCACTAGTTTTCATAACCTACTTTTATAACTAGTTTGCCCCTTGAAGGGGCAGTTAGATGCTCTGTGGCTATTTTTTACCACTCGACTTTGGCTGGCTAGTAGCAAGTCATCCATTTCCCATTATCAGTCTAATGTAGACTCGGCAGCTTTCACCCAACACAGGAAGTGCCTGGAAATGACTGCCTCCCTCCTCTGTACAGCTTTAATTGTGCAGTTCCCTGAAGGAACAGGTTTTCCAGTCAATTCTGGTAGAACGTGCACCCGTTTCCTTTTTTAAAGAATTTAGATGACAGGAGGACAGCCTGAAAGATAAGTTGCTCAAATTTCTCCAAGGAGGTTTTTCTAAGGTGGCAGATATGTACCAAGTACACAACATAGCCTGAGAGGTGTGTTAGAGAAGTCAGGGAGGGATGAGTTAGGGAGGCGAGAAGGGAAGTGGTCACAGAAAACATGAATGGCAGCCGGGCTGGCAGCCACTTTGGCTGCAGGTTCCCAGGCTGCACCCATGAGACCGTTGCAGCTCTAGGCTTTCCCTTCATTTCAGGGGCAAGCTTAAGGGAGTTGAAGTTTGGCTAAGCCAGTTTATAAAGGACAGGATTTACAGATCTGCTTTCCAGGGTGTGTGTGTGTGTGAGGGCTTTAGTCAGGTTTACATTTAACACCTGCTGCCTGTTCCCCTGGATCTAATCAAATAGTAAAATGCACTGAAAAAGTCCAGGTCTGCTCTTCCTGAATCTGCCTGGATTTTAGCTTATGATCTGTTTGAAGGTGTTCAGCAATCATCTAGAGGTGAGCTTGGAGACCAGAGGCACACCACACTAATCCCCAGGCCTAACAACATTTCCTGGGAGCTGTGCCCTACTTCAACTACACAAAATATTAGAAATACACTTGGCATTTATGAATTAAACAAAACTTTGTGACTTTGACAGTACCTGAGCAATCTGAAGGTCCAAAGTGTGAGGGCTCGTCATTTTACTGAAGCTCAGGTGTGGGCCCAGGGCTGTGATGTTCAGGTCATTAGCTAGTAGGTTCAGCCATTCCCTGGACTCCATATCCTCACCCAGAGTGACAGTCTATTCCTGTAAGTACAATAACGTAAAACCACAGGATATTGGGGGGTGGGGTTCATGGAGCAAGAGGATAGAAATAACCCAGATGCACTGCTTGTGATGGAAGGGAAACACATGCAGAAAGTTGGTTCTAGAAAGAGGATGGATTTTAAGAATAGAATTTCTGACCCAAAATGTGAAGACAACTATAGAAACCACCAGCTGGTGTGAATTGTAGGAACAGTCCCACTTTCCCGTAAGCCTTGTACAGAGGCTCCAGTGGGTGGAAAAGCTGCTCCATGAAAGTTGGAGAGGTGATGAAGAGAGTGCAGACATAGAGGACATGAGATTCAGTGTAAATGTGATCTAGGAGAAAGTGGGGAAGCTGACACTAGAGGACAAGTTGGGGATTTTTGAGTCTCAAAAATCCTTACAAATAAGGTGCAAAGTTTAAAAATCAGAAGATATGTTTACAAGCCAGTTTGAACTGTCAATATGTGAGGACACTCTACGTGGCTACACAGGATGGACTCACTAAGGGGCTTTCTTTACAAACTTATTTAAAATATTTTATAGTTTAAAGTATTACACGAGCCTCCTCCCTCCCCATTGATTTCTCCCCCACCATTCCCAAGTCCAAGCCCTTACTCCCATTACTGTCCATTGGTTTTGTTTGTATGCATGCATACAAGTTAAGCTGTGATTACAGAATTCACTATTGAGAAATCCTAGCTGAGCCCTCCAAAGTGGTCAGAACTGCACAGCTATGCAAACAAAATCTTGCAGAAGCTGAACTCGGCTCTGATGAGGTTAAGACAACATGTTGTCTCACTACCTCCCACCACATTCTCTGGGAGGTAACTAGTAGCACATAAACCTAAGCTGATATTTGAATCACTTGCTGGTCTTAAAATTTTGAGAATAACTAGTTGCTACTTATCTTGAGAACATATTTGTTAGCAGCAAAAGAGACATTTTAAAACAGGTACTGAATAAAGAGCACAGAATGAATACTCTGTAGTGAGTTCACATAGACCACTTATTGAGCAATGTCCTTTCAGACTATAAGTTTCTAGTAGAGTAGCAGTGCTATTTTGAATATAAATATGGCCCTTACCTTCTAGGAGCTCTTGGTCTATTCATGGAAGCAGATAGGTTAAAACAAAACATGTCTTTGAGCCTTCAAAAATACTCTAGAAAGAGATCTAAATTTTGACCCATTGCAACAGTATTGGAATAAGAATACATACAATGTCACAGTGTGATTACCTTAAAAGTAAATTTTGGCATACTTGTTTTGGTTGGAGGAAGGCATCACTGAACTTGAAATCATATTTTAGCAACAAGGCCACCTTCCTTTCTTACACTAATATCTACTTTTCAACAGTTTAAAGGTTCTTCTATGGCCAAATGTTTTCAAAATGTTTGAATCTACCTTTTCCCCAAGATTCTGGAAGTAGAGAAATAACAGTAGTACATAAGGCTTAAGCAAACTTCATTTCTTTCCATATACATGGCCCACTCACTAGAGGCATTTAATGTGGGTCCTGTACGATTTCAAAAGGGTGGGGGAAGGGGGAGCGTAAAAAGGCAACACCTCTACACCCTGCAGGAAGGGTAGTGTCTTCACCAGGACTGTTTCTAGGCAAACAAGATTCCTATTTCTTGGAGCTCAGCTAATCCTTCAGGAATCTCAGTCCCAACCTTTGCTTAGTCTCAGCCATTGAACTCAAAGTCTAAGCAAAGTAGAATCCATAATATTTTCATAGTAATATTATGGGATTATCTCCTTTTTTTCACCACCATTCTGTCATGAGCAATGCAGAATTTTCCAGACTTCAGGATGTGATACTGTGACAATATGATAATCTATCATGTCTCATGTTAAAGAGCTTTGCAAATATGTAGAATGCCACTCTTACTAAAATGTGCTTTGTTTTGGAAGATATTTTTCTAGGAATATTTATGTTAATATGAAATGAATTTAAATTCTAACATACATATCAACAGAGACAGTCCACACGAGCCAAAATATTCTTTAAATGTTTTTGAGTGGAAAGGGTTCTGAGAACGACTCCAGCCTGACATGGCCACACAAGAAGCACTTGCCACTGATGCTGCACCACCAGTTTTATGTTTCCCTACACACGCAGGATTTCTCACACCTTTTGGGGAAAATTTACTATAAAAGACTAAAACAAAATTAGCAATGTTCTTTCTCCCTCTCCCATAGTAAATTCTATGGAGAATTTCTGTTCAATCTGGGATATAAGCTTAGCAAATTAAAGTCAATACTGCGCATAACTCCATAAAGCTAACCATCCATAAAGCAATAGCCTAAAGGGTTTTGAGAAGAGATCAAAGAGCGAGCACAATCCTTAACTTGGAAATGGGACTACTGCATGTCAGTCAGTTATACATGCACTTCATTTCTGAGATGAAACACGGCACTGCCTTTGTCATAAACCAGCAAAACTGGAAGCTTTCACCAGCATCAACTAATAAAAACCCAAATAAACACCTACCTTTGAAACCTCTGGGTTCATGTAGTCTAAAGAAATATTTTATTCTGGCACTCACATATTCCTGAATGAAGCTATTTTAAATTGAAAATAAGAAACGCTTGGTCAAAAAAGTGATTTTATAACATCTGTGCAAACTTGGGGAGGGCCAAAGCTTGAGGTGGTTTCTGAAGTTAAGTACATGGTAGAATGGCCAACTTTTTCCAAAGTCATCCTCAAGGTGACAACTAAGATTTCAGGCAAATCTGTGGAGTCCAGAAACAATGAACTGAACACTGCTCCCAGAGCCAGAGAGAAGCCTTCTGCTTCAGCTGTCATGAGGACAAAATGCACAGGCTCAGACTGTCACAGAAAGCATTTATTACCACAGAGGAAATCAGGAGTCCACGCCGGGCAGTGCGTGTGATTGGGAGAGGGGGCAGGAGGCAGGACCCCCATCAGTCATGTCTGGGCAGTGTCTGACCAGCAGGTTTGCTCGGTCCAGGAGAGCAGGCGTCTGGGCTTGTATGTCTGTCTGGCTCAGGAGGTCAGCCTTAAGGCTCCTCCTGGATACAACAAAGGACAACAGCTGCACAGACACCAACTTAAAATGGAAATCAAATTAGGCTCGTTACATCAGGATACACTTCACCCTGATCATAACACACAAGGAGAGGTGCATTGGGGTCTACTAGATGGCCTCTCTGAGATAAGATGCTTTTAGAACGTAAACATTGGCAGGGCCTTTCCCCTTGCTACCAGCAAGCAGCACACAATTTACTAGCCAGCTTTAAAAGTTACTGTTATCTGTTATTATTTGGATTTTGAACAAAATTGATGGAGTAGGAGCCAGTAGAGGAATCCTGTTTGATTTGAAAATTTTCTGTGGAGAGTCCAAAAGGTCGGAGAACCAAGTTCCCAAGATCTTTTAGTTTACCTGCAATGTAAAAGCAAAAAACGCAAATAAATATGGGGAAAGAACAGAAGCAGGAAGTCCCCATTGAGCTTGCCTTATTACAAAATATAAAGAGCATCTCTTGGTAGTTACAAAACTCCTGCTTCTAAAATGGTGAAGCCTCAGTCCCCACCCCCGCTGGAGTGCAGTCACTTCAATGCCGTCCACCCTGGAAGCTGCGTGTACATGAGTGGGAGGGAGCCCAGCTGGCTCCTGGGACAGCAAAGCTTCCTGTCCAAACTGGCCAGACCCGTCGAAGGACATAGACTCTGGGGTGAGTGGTGGACGAATCACCTGCTCCCAGGTAAACAAGGGCACTCTGCCAATCCCCACTGCCTGGCGGTGGGACACAGGCCTCTCCATGTCTGTTCTCTAAGAAACAGCAGCAGCCACCTGCTGAAGCTAATTCCACTTAGCAGATTTCTACAATTTCAAAATCAACAGCCTCCTACTTTTCTACAGAAGGCCTCACCTGGATTCCACACCAAACTCATCGCTTACCGGGGAAGGGGTGATCTCGTTCATTTGCACAAGCCTGTCAACCTCAACAGTCCAGCCTTCTCTCCCCAAGTTCTAGGCTTTATCAACTACCAGTGACTTCCTGTCCTAAAGCCAGAACTGAGACACATGGTGTAACCAAGGGATTTTATGCTGATTCTACATACAAGGAAGTTATGGAGTTTGTATATCAATAGTTGAGGGAATTTCTAGAACATTTGAAAGATTCTTAGAGATTTATGGGGCAAAGAGATGGAATATTTGAAACCAGGAGTGTTAGAAAATATTGGCTAGGATGAGTGAGAAAACAGTTTCAATCCTTTCTAAAACTGTTCTTAATTTTTCTTGCAGGTCTGCTTCCAATGGAGATGAGAATGGGGGTAAGAGGGAAAGAAACCCCCATCACCAGAGGTACAGGGTCCTCCTAGCTTATCCCTGTTAGCAGCTTTGTCCCTCTGAGGCCTCCCCTCTTGAAGTAAAGCCCAGGTAAAGAACATAAAGATGCCTGCCCTTCAAATGTCCAGGCCTGTACTAATAACTCATGGAAAGAACTTTTGGTTTCATTCTAAAATCTATCCCTCTGAAGCTCACCACATTCTGAGAAAGCTCCAGGAATGCAGGGCAACCATTCTCCAGGCAGGCTTCCCACACACAAACCTGGAACACATGCTCAGTGCTTCTCTTTAAGGAGCATCACTGGTGTGGAACTCTCCCTGCACAGGTGGTAGGTAGCACAGAGCATGGTCTTGGTAGAGAAACGCAGGGATGGGGACCACAACATGCAGAGACAAGATGGGGCATCCTTAGGAAAATGTCACCCAGAACTTGGGCAGTCTGTCTTGGCATTGAGTAGGGCCAGTGGAACACTAGGCAACAGCGCATAACTTTCTGGATGGACCAACAAGTTTCTAGCATTTGAGAAGTTCACCTTTTGCTGTTTAAGATGATGGCAGAGAAGCACCTTCAGTAACGATCATGCTCCTAAAGAGATGCACAATCACCCACAGAATTTTCCTGCTGCTTAGAGGCAGGTTGGACACTCATAAAAAAGGCAGCTTCTTTGTGCCTAAGGAAGGATCACTTGCCAAACTGGCCTATGCGCCACACTTTTCACTGGTGGCCAAATTCCACCCCCACTCCGCCACCCATCAGTTAGGTTACCTTATTACCCCCTGTATCAAACCTGGCACCTTCATTCGGCCTGGCTTTGGGGAGCTCTGGCCAGGACACCTATTTCCACCTCACCACATCACTGACCCCACACCTGAGCTCCTTCAGTCCTCAGATTCCCTGCCTTTCATGGCCATGAAGTTAATCTGCCCAGAGAAAGGGACAACAGCAAACAGTCCCGTTGTGACCACTTTCCGCAAATAGGAAGCCAATCGGATTGTCCTGTGCTCAGCAAAGACTGTGGCACTGGGGCTGAGGCCACCAGATCCCCACTCCTGTTCTGATGACATTTATAAAAGACAGGCTTGGAAGGGAGGGCAGAGTATGTTTACCCATTCCGAATTTCAATCAGGATTTTTCCCCCTAAGGAGGGGGTATATAGGTCTTCTAACAAAAGAAAGTCAAGTCACAGAAAGAAAAGAAAACCCCAAAAATGCTCATTTTGTTCAATAACCACATAACTTCCTTAACACTGAACAGTTTAAATCTTTAAGTACCAGCGCTCCAGCAAAAGCCACCATTCCTACAAAACTCGCACAAAAAATCGTGCCAACTCTACGGCAAAAGCTTGCTCCACTTTTAAGGAAGTGACACTATTTTGCACTCAGAATGACCACCCTCCAAGGACCTCACGGCACACGATCAGCCACGACACCCGTAACAAGGAGGGGAGAACACTAGACAGCTCTTGTGAGGCTCAGTCCGTACAGTGATTTCTCCCCTCCAGACTCTCCCATGGCAGGTAACACCCACGAGCAATACTTTATTCATGACCCTGACATTCCTGACGAAAAAAGAATCCAGCTATTAATCTATTCACATGTAACAACAAACTATTACTTACCAAGAACTTAAATTGCTTAAGATGGGAGATTTCATTACAGAAGCAACTGAAGGAATTAATTCAACTTGAATACTTCACATGGAGGGAAAAATATAAGTAAAACCCAAAGCCATGAAGACAGGGCTCATTAGAATTTACAGTGACGGGGACAGAGGGCAGTTTTGATGCCAGCTGCCACTGACGACACAATCAGGCTCAGTCTGCACTCATTCCTTTACGTTTTGCACAAAGCCTGGAGAGCACTGCCTCGTTGTCTTTCCTATGTCCAATGTGGTCATCCATAAAGCCATCTCTTTCAGCAGGAAGTCTAGCTCAGCTAAATGCACATAGATTTTTATTTATTTATTTTTGGCAAAAATAAAGTATCATTGATAGGAGAGAAACACTTTTTTTTTTTTTTTTTTTTTTAAAGAGTATCTCTAAAATAACTTTTCTGCTCAAATATGGTGTAAAAGTTTAATTAAATAAGTAAATTAGAGAAAGAGCCTTTTGGGGAAAAACTGGGGAAGGCTCTAGAAATTGCCAGTCTGAAGCAGCTCCCCCTGGAGCCTGTGTCCAGCCAGCAGGGTCGGAGGGCTGTGGATTGCCTGGGCTAATGGGTTAGCTCTCCTATCAGAGTGAACCATGGGGAAATTTGTTCTCATTCTCTGGATCCCGACACTTACAGCTCATAAAAGGCCAAGTTCAATTTATTGTAAAAGTTGTTTTCTTTAGGCACATGTGACACAGGCTCCAGGGGGAGCTGCTTCAGACTGGCAATTTCTAGAGCCTTCCCCAGTTTTCCCCCAAAAGGCTCTTTCTCTAATTTACTTATTTAATTAAACTTTTACACCATATTTGAGCAGAAAAGTTTACAAGTTACGTGACAGATTTAGGAACTATTCATAAGGAAGACCTTATACTCGATCTTGAGTGGGGAAACATCAGGTTATAAGCAGAATATGCTGAGCTTACTGTTGCATGAGAAGGGGTTTCTCTGAATCCAATTATAAAATACTCAGGCGAACAAGAGAAGTAACTAAAACATGGATCAAAAGAATCCATTTGCCCTACCCTCCACTCACAGCCTTCCCCCACCTCCCCGTTTACTCCTAAATCCCTACCTTCTCATGTCTCCTCAAAGAGACTTAATGCATTTTCAAAACAGAAATTCCATTGATTCTGTCATGGTACTGGCGGGTAGTGACAGCATCCTAATGAACTTAAAGCCTTAGGCTGTTCACTCAGTGAAAAAACGCCACTGTTTTCATGACACTCATGATCTGAAGTGCAGGTTGTTGGTATCCCAGGTTGGGAACTGTGTTTGCATTCTTTTAGGCAGGGAAAATGTTCAAGAAAAATAAACAGCAGTTTGGGTTTTGAGAAGCTGACCCCCTTCTGGAGTGAAACAGCTAAGAGCTCACTAGCCCCACGGAACTGCCACCCACAACAAATGAAAGGCCTAGAAGTCATTTCAAACGGTTGTGTTTCCCTTGAATAAAAATACTGCTGTCCCTGGGACCCGTGCTTCCCAGATACTGATGGTCAAGAGAAGAGAGACAAACTTACCTAACATCTCTTCCTTCATTCTTTCATTTCGTTCTTCAATTTGCTTAGGTAATCTCTGCGGGAAAAGAGGAGAAACCGGGATTGGTAAAAGATCCCTCAGCTTTATTCTGAATTTGAGAAACATTAAAAACAAATGTGAATGTGAGATAAAATACAGATATGTGATATTAAACAAAAAAACAAGTCTTTGTGGGTGAGCCACATGAAGATAGTTTTATTTAGCTCACTGCTCTACATCCAGTTCTTGGCAACAGTGGCCCAAGAAAAACCTCAATAAAGATGTGGTGACCAAACATATACACACAAAAAAAGTGTCTGAAAGAATACCTGCCAGAATTTTACAATGGTATGTATACTTAGGTGTTGGGATTATGAGTGATATTTAATTTTTTTTGCTCATTTATATATTTTTTACCTTGAAGTCCTTTCTTTATAGAATCTAATTTACTGAGAAAATCCGATTGATAACGGATGTTTTCTTGGCACTATTGGCATTTTGGACTAGGACATTCTTTGTTACGGGGGTTGTCTTGTGCACTGTGGGATGTGGAGAGCAACCCTGGCCTGCCGCTTAAGACGTCAATAGTACCATTCCAGTCATGATGTCTCCAGACACGGTCAAATGTCCCTGGGAACCACTGATCTGGGTTAGTCTCTTTTTGTCCCTTTTAGCTCTGTAATTGGCCCCAAGTACTCTGGGATTCCAGCAATAACTCTATTATAAGAATTAAAAATAAATTCTTTATGCATATAACTATTAGCATAAAAGGCTTCCTTTCACAGAAGGCTTAAAACTAATATGACAAGGATAAAGGCTACCAAGAATTTGGCCAAGGTTTTAAGTATTACGTTTCCTCATGTCCAAATTAGTTGATCTTACCACCATTCAGAGTCAAATAAAGAACACTGGTTTCAAATTGCTTATGTATTTTAATTATCCAAACCAGGCTGTCTCCCATTACTCCATTTCTAGATAAATAAGAATGTCATTATGGAAGGAAGTATGTATAAAAACTGAGCAAAACAAAACTCACACCACCTAGGATATTAATGCAAAAAGATCAGTCAACATTTCTCAGGTTGCTCAGTAGAATAATCGTTCCAAGAGAGGTGGGAAATTCTGCAGAGCAGGGCAGACAGGAAATAGAAACAAGGGAAGGAATCGGCAGAAGGCAGTATGGAGCAGGGGGGCAAGCAGTGGGATGGGAGAGCTCCAGCCAGATGGCGCATGCAGGTGTTCAAGAACCCGCTATGTCCACATCTTCCAATTTTTAAAAAAATATGCTTTTATTGATGTCAGAGAGGAAGGAAGAGGGAGAGATAGAAACATCAATGATGAGAGAGAATCGTCAACCGGCTGCCTCCTGCACCCTCCCCACTGGGGATCGAGCCCACTCCCCAGGCATGTGCCCTGACAGGCATGGACTTTCTGGATCATAGATTAATGCTCAACCACTGAGCCACACTGGCCAGGACTTCCTATTTATTTTCAAGAAGAGTATGCTTTGATTTTTATCTAATCAAATCTTCCCGTTTTTCAATATTGGCAAGTGGCCTCAATTAAAAACAAACAAAAAGCTGGCTTAAACAAAACATGTCTGTAGATCCCCACCTCCTGTCTGCTGGCCCATGCTCCCCCAGGCGTGCTGGGGTACAAGACAGGCCTCTCCACCCGAACGGCTCTCTGCAGAGAGTGGCAGTGGAGAGAGCTACTTAGTTGAAGTCAGGTTTCTCAAATTGATTTGAACACCCATTATGGGGTAAAAACATGTGCACATCCAATTCAGTAGTACATCTTTTAGAATATATGCTGCTGCTCTATGCATTAGGGACAATCAGAGTGGTTTTAAAGGTAAAGTACAAACCGGAGTTATTCTTAAAGTGGGGAAGCAGTAACGTTTAGCTAATTTACAACTGACATGAAAATTAGCCCAGCTTGTGTGGCTCAGTGATTGAGTGTTGACCTATGAACCAGGAAATCACGGTATGATTCCTAGTCAGAAAACCTGGGGGCTTGATCCCCAGTGTGGATCATGCAGAAGGCAGCTGATCAATGATTCTTTATCACTGATGTTTCTCTCGCTCTCCCTTCCTCTCTGAAATCAATAAAAATATATTAAAAAAAAAATAACACCTAGAAGCAAAAGGAATGCAGTGTTGGAGATAAGACTAGAAGTCATTTAAAAAAGGACAAGAAGATTAGTTTAGGATATATTCAATTGCAAATGTGTTAGGCCTATATGACAATAAATAGAAACTTGGTGACTGAATAAGAAAAAGGATGGATAGAAAACCAGAAATTCCTTACCTATAACACTAAGACTCCCTTTGGGTCTGAACTGTACCACAGTGGACAAGAGCGTCCTAGTCCAACAATGAAGTAAGATTTCTGTCAACCCTAGAGACGGAAGGTTTATACAGGTAACACATTGAGGATGGAGTTTAAATGGCACCTGGTGAGTCTCTGGCTACCACTTTCAAGTTCTGTTGCCCATATACTGTGATAGCCTCCTCAAAAGTATAGAAATGGAATGCAGTTGTGTCCCAAGGATTATTTAAGACTCACTGAGTAGCAACACAAGGAAAAGAAATAAAGAATGAGGCTTACCATACAAGCTTCCCTGGCTTGGTGCACTGATGGGTCTTTTTCTAGAATGGACTTGTAGTCTTCCAGGGCTTCATCGAGCTTGTCGGTGCTCTCGTACAGCTCCGCTCTCCTCAGCAGGGCCCTGATGTAACTGGGGTTTAGCTGAATGGCTGTAAAAGGAGAAGAGGTAACCGTTATCATGGGGAAAAGGCCTATCCATAAGAGTCTATAGACGCAAGCGGGATGGTTTCTGTTTTGGACATGTGGCAGTTAACTGGTTATCAACCATCATTCAGGGTCTAAAGAAAGAGCCATTTGTCCAAGGCTATACCTGGGGCCAGCAAGCTTTTTCTGGAAAGAAAGACTAAGATTTCAGGCTTTGCAGGACAGACATTCTGTCACAATTACTCAACTCTCTAGTGCAGCATGAAGCAACCAGACAGTGCCTGAGCCAACAAGGTGAGTTCCCATAAACCTTACTGATGCTGAGATTCGAACTTCAAATAATTTCCACGTGTCACAAAATATTATTTCTCATGGATATTGGTTTAACCAACCCAAACACAAATCTGGAAAAACAGTCTTCCCCTTCCTCTCATTTAAAAAAAAATATATATATTTTATTGATTTTGTACAGATAGGAAGGGAGAGAGATAGAGTTAGAAACATCGATGAGAGAGTCAATCAGCTGCCTCTTGCACACCTCCTACTGGGGATATGCCCGCAACCAAGGTACATGCCCTTGACTACAATCGAACCCGGGACCCTTTAGTCCCCAAGCCGACACTATCCATTGAGCCACACCGGTTTCGGCCCCTTCCTCTCATTTTCCTGACGTGACTCCTCCTCTTTGGACCGCAGCTGGGAATGACTGTTGCCCACTGTACACCTGCTAACCAAGCTTACAAGGCATTTCTGTCACTTGGTTACAGAGAGAGGAACTCTGAAAAACAGCAGTTTGTTCCTAAATTTAAATTTTTCAAAGCCACACATCACACACAGATTAAGGTTCAATTCCTTCTTCCAAACAAAACTACATACAGAATTAGTTCCTGCCCAAGATAGTAATAGGTCAGAAGTAGTTAGCTACATTCTAATGTAGCAATAGTTTAATTCAGGTACTAAAAAAGAAATTAAGAAATACAAAGAAAAGAAAGCCCCAGTAGAGGGGATGATGAATTAATGTAAAAAAAAAAAAAAAATAGAACTCATGCTTACTATAATAGTTGGATTAAACAGCCTAAGATTTTTTCTAATCCTATAGTTTTCTCAAAGAAATTATCTAAAGAGAGGAAAACAAAAATACAAATTATGAAAAGTAATAATTAGCTAGTAAATCTCATGAGTAGTAAGATGCAAGGAAAAGGGATTATGTATGTTCTCCATACCAAGCTGGTAAGAAAGGTAAGAAAAACTGGTCTATCAAAAGTTTTTTGACTAGCTTATTTCAATTAGCATAATGCTCTCCAGTGAAATAAACCAGTCAGTGAAAGAAAAACACCACATGATCTCATTCACTCATGGATAATAAAGAACATTATAAACTGATGAACAAAAATAGATACAGCCGAAACCGGTTTGGCTCAGTGGGTAGAGCATCAGCTTGCAGACTGAAAGGTCCCAGGTTTGATTCTGGTCAAGGGCATGTACCTTGGTTGTGGGCACATCCCCGGTGGGGGTTGTGCAGGAGGCAGCTGATCAATGTTTCAGACATTCTATCCCTCTTTATATATTTTAAAAATATATAAATATATTTTTTTTTAAAAAAGAAGAAAGATACAGAGGCAGAGAAGCATCAAATAGACTGTCAAACAACAGTGGGAAGCCTGGAGAGGGTTGGGGGGCGGGGGAAGAGATCAATCGAAGGACTTGTATATATGTATATAAGCATAACCAATGGATGCAAGACACTGGAAGGGGGGTGAGGGCATGTGCTGGGGATAGGGGAGGCTGGGGGAAGGTCAATTGGGGGTGGGGGGTGGGGAAGGAGACATATAGATTACTATTTGTAATACTTGAAACAATGAAAAAAAGGAAAATAAAAATAAAAGTTTTTGAAAACAATAGTGATCCTATATCTAGGTATCTCTAAGGTGGTGGGATGGAAAGACTCTGATAGAACGCAGATAAAAAGTGGCAAAGTCTTGATTCAGTGTTGTGGAACCTGAAAGGGTAATAAAAATGAAGGCAAATAGGTTTAGAAGAATTATTACATCTGAAGTGTACCAATTCCCAACAGAAATTGCCCCTTACCCCCGCAACCCCAAACACACAGATCCAGATGCCCTGATAGCAGCTAAGAATCTTTAGTTTGAATTTTAAAGTAAAGTATTTTGGACACTATAGGAAATAAATTCTGTTTTAGCAGATTCTGCTGCCAAGGTAGCTCTGAATTTTTCTTCACATATCCTACCTAATAAAGAGGGAATATGCAAATTGACCATCACCCTATCCTACAAAGATGGCTGTACTCAAACTTCCCAAAAGGAGCCTTAAAGAGCAAGTAGCAGGGACCTGAGGCTACACCTCCCTCGCCCCTGTGGGGCTTGACAGGGATTCTCAGGCCACGGCCCCCACCCGGCGAGGCTTGACAGGGGACCTCAAGGTGTACTTCCCATCCTGATGCTGGGCTAGGGGACCTCAGGCTGCGCCCCCACACAGCAGGATTTGATGGGGGACCTCAAGGTGCATCCCCAGTGCCGGGTTGGTGGAACTCAGGCCGCGCCCCCGCCCAGCGGGGCTTGATGGGGGACCTCAGGCCATGCCCCCCACCCAACGGGGCTTGACAGGCAATCTCAGGCCGTGTCCCCCACCTGGCAGAGCTTGACAGAGGACCTCAAGGCACGCATCCCTGCCCTGGGCTGGGGGACCTCAGGCCCCGGCCCCTGCCTCCTGCCCCCCACCCTGTCCTGGTGCCGGGCCGGGGGACTTGAGCTAAGCCCCCTATCCAGCAGGACTTGACAAGGGTGGGACTGGCTGTATCTGGATCTAGCCCATGGGAGAGGGTTGACCAGGTCTGGGTCTCACGCAATTTTGAGGTGCATGTGGGTGGGCGGGACTTGACTCTGGGTCCCATGGTGAGCCCCAGACTGACAGGAGGAAGGTTTTCATATACATTTTACTAATTTTCTTTCATCTCTGACACTTCTATTATAGAGAAAGGGCAAATAGCAATATTAATTTATTTCCTCTAATTAATCACTTTTTAATGTGCATGAATTTCATGCACCGGGGTCACTAGTTTGTTTATAAGCCAGGATAAACAGACTCAGCTATCAATCCAAGAGCACACTTACACTGAGGTGACTACTACATAACACCCCTGAGAAGGGCTAAACCATAAAGCTACTTCTTCAAAGGCCTCAGAGGAAGGGGCACAAGTCCAGGTCACACCCAACCCACAGCCTCTGTCTCTGCTCGTCTGGCTGAGGTGAGGCTCTTAATGTTAACATGTAACAAGACCAAAAAATTGTACCTTTGCTGCAGTCACTGATGGCCATCTCCTTCTTGTCCTAAAAGGAAATATAAGATTAATATGTGTCACCCTGGTTCTATCTTAATGGTCCAAAGGCTCAATGACAAAGCTGATCATTAATAATTGCTTATGGAGATGCAGAATGCTCTTCAAAGAAAACACAAAAAACATGCAACTTATTTCCAAGCTAAAATTCAAATATAGTGACTTGAAAGTCTTCTGGCAACAAAATATTCGAGTAGCTTCTTCCTAAATATTTTAAAGATTGTCGTCATGGACCTACTTGATTTGCAAGATGCCCTATGTCAGAATGCTGATACTGAGAAAATTTTGTGATCAATAAACAGGGCAAATGACTAAAATATGGATAACTGAATTAATAACCCTCCTCTTTGGCTAACTGACCCAAAGTAGTATCTTCTAGAAATTATACAAATGGTATGTCTACAGTAACACAGAGTGGCTTGTCATGCAGTCTCAGTTAAAACCTCAATTCATCCACTGATGAAACAAAGATACACAACCACCTACCAAATGAGACCCCTCACTGACTGAGCTGCTGAATCGAGAAGCATGGCATAGAGGACAGAACACCAATGTTGAATGAACCTGACTCTTGTTCCAGCTCTGACACCAACCTGCTATTTACCTCCCAGTTCTAAAAGGTCTATTTCCCCCAATTGTAGTATTCTACATTACAGAAATGTTAGTTCAAATAAATGTTAACAATTCTGTAATAGCTACTGTAGCAAATACTAAATATTTTGCAGAGTATTTTAGAGCAATGTCTACCAAACTGAATTTTAGGATTTAATTAAAAACAGTTCCAGGATGGGGAGTGAAGGCTGAATGGATGCAGGGTATCCTTCTGGGGTCATGAAAAAGTTCTGGTACCAAATGGTGCTAGTTGCATAACACTTATAAATGTATTTAATGGAACTAAATATAAGGTTTAAAAAGGTTAAAATGATCAATTAAAAAATATTTTTATTGATTTCAGAGAGGAAGGGAGAGAGAGAGAGAGAAACATCAATGATGAGAATCATTGACTGGTTGCCTCCTGCACGTCCCCTACTGGAGATCGAGCCTGCAACCCAGGCATGTGCCCTTGACAGGAATCGAATGCAGAACCCTTCAGTTCACAAGCCATTGCTCTATCCACTGAGCCAAACCAGCTAGGGCTAAACCAGTCTATTTTATGCCAGGTGCCCTTTACCCACAATAAACACAGAAGGTTCCAGAGTCATCTGAAAAACAATGCATTATATCTCTTCCAATGTTCATTAAAGCAATTCACATATCAAAAGCTCAAAGAAGTCTTGTAGTAAAGCAATCTGTGTAACTTTGTACAAGTCAGTTTTTCCCCAATATATTAGCTTTTATAAATCTAGGACTCTCAATTTCATATCTTAAAGTTCTGAAAAAGGAGTGGCTCTTTACAACGCATGTGCACATCTGTGGTGATGTATTCTTTGTGCCCCTTAGTAAGCATTAAGCTGCAGTGCGTCTTAGGAACAGCTGGCCTTTGCAGATGAGGAACGGTGGCCTTTTACTGCAGAATCCTCTGCTTCAGGCTCAGAGTCTGCTGAGAGCTCAGGGGACCCAGGTGTTGCCTGCTGCTTAGAGTGATAATCTGAAGAGCGGGGCATGTGGGGAAAAAAATTAGAACTTCTTTATCATCCTTTCATAACTTCTATTAGTCTATATACATATAGAAGTCAATGCACATAATATAAGGATGGTAGTTTTAAAAAACTTTAATCTGCTCTTTTAGGGCTCTGTCTCTCTTGTGGAGGCAGGCAGAGACCTGACACTCGGTCCTCACCTGACTGCCTTTTCTCTCTCCAGACATGAAATGTAAAGTTTGGCCGGACATTCTCAGTCAGGGATGCTGAGCCTGCAAACTTGCTTTTCAGAAATTCTTCTTAAAGCAGTGAACCCATCACTTCTGAATAAACTCAGAATATGGTCCTAATTATTAAAATGCATTAATCCTGGACATTTTCAAGTTACCAATTTTTGAATCTTCTTAAAAATATCAAAGAGTGCCACTGAAAAGAACAAAACCACCCCCCACCCACCCTGGCAAAGCTATCCTTTGTAAAGAAAATGGTCACAGAGCAACTCTCTCCTGAGTTCTCCTTACATGTGACCAAGACCACACATCGCCCTAACTCAGAACCAGTTGATTATATCAGCCCGAGCCTAGCAACACCGATAACTTGGCAACTGTGGAAACAAAGAATCGCCAGTCCCAGGAGCCAGATGGGCAAGGTGCATTTTGTTTGACATTGAAGGTGCCCTCCATTCCATTTAGCAATGACAACTTCCAGTCTGAGAACAGGACAGATGTCTCTGAGGAGCAAAAGCGAAATAGGAGAGTTTTCCAAGCTAAGAGTAAACACCGTTAGGTGTGAATCCTGATTGACGATAGAATATATTAGTGAGTAATGTTTAAATATACTTAATTATTTTATTTCCCCTAATATGTCTGTTTATATACTCTAGAATTATTCTCTAATGCCACATGAATCACCCCCAAAACTTACTTCACTTTGGAAACTGAATCCAATAATAAAGCAAACAAGTTCTGGTGTTAAAGTAACAACACCATTCTGCACATCTAAACCACCCTGGATTTCCTTTCTCCTCACCTCCACCCTTTGTAAACTTGGTTATCCAAAGAGGCTTCGGTATCGGCACTAGTGTGTTTCAGGCAACGTCAATGAGAAAGTGATGCCGATACCTGACCTAAGCAAATAAAAAGACCACTTTGCCCAAGCGAGGGCCTGCTTCGTGGTTGCTTATAGATATGTTAAATAACCACTCTTTGCGCTTTGGACACAAGTAGCCATAGTTAAACAAGTGTAGTGTTTTTTAACAACTCTTATTTCAATCCAGCAAAATCTACTATGTTGACTAAACAGGAAATCAGACAAATCTAACTTTTAATACCAACATGGTTCAAAAGAAATACAACTACACTCTTTTCTATTCTACATTCACCGTGCTACACCAGGTTCTCAAGACTTTAGAAATGCAAAATGTTCCTGAACTTTCCCTGACATCTATCTTGCTGTTAAGGGCACCACTCATTCCAACTGGTGGGCATCTCTCCCCACGTCATACTTTCAACAGGAAAATCAGACCCTCTGGAAGAAGCATTTGAAATCCCAAGTTTTAGCCAGTGCTTCCCTTGGGTCTTTATCTAGAATCCCCAAGCCTAAAACAAAACAAGCCACTGTTCCAAGCCACGCGCCTCTAAGGTCTTTGCTTCCTGAACCTTCCCTAGTTTGGCGGAAACTTTGCCAGCCTTCTTTCTGTAAAGTGTTCACTCAGCCACCTTAATGAGGAATGCTAACAGTAATCTGACTCAAGTTTTAAGACAACATGTTTCTATCTTTCTTGTGCCCTTTATATCGGAGATATATGAGCAGGAAAAGGGAGACACCAATGTTAAGGCTCTATGTGAGTTTTTGGAGAAACGCTATCTTACAAATACACAGCAAGTCCATGTGCTTTTTAAAAAAAGGAAAGATCAATGTCACATACCTGCTTCATCCTCGCAGCAGCTCTATTTGAAAACAGAATAGACCTGTCTTTCTGAAAGCAGGATGGGCACGTTTGAAGGGCTTGGCTGTAAGAACTTTCAGCTTCGATGTAATCTGAGGATAAAGTAAAAGGTGAGAGGTTATTATTTTATTCCCGATAGACTGTGTTCCATTGGATCTCAGAGTGCAAGGTCTTCCAGTCACAGGACAAAGGTCTCCAACAGAAAACTCCAAATGTTCAGCTTCCATTTGGCTTCTCAATTTAGTGAGGAACTTGGAAAGGGGTTTGAGAACTGGACAGATGAATCAGACTGAAGCCTGGGATTAAATGCCTGTTGTCTAAAGACCTTAAAAGAGAAAGTGGTGATACTTTTATATATTCATTGTCACACACAGAATGACAATCAGGGTCCTAAAGGAAAATTGTCTATTCATGTCTTTCTCAGGTTAGAAATAGTTAATAATAAAATACAAAGAGATATGTTTTCAAAATTAGACCCATTAGTTCTCTTAGAACACATAAGTGATGACTGATTAAACCAGGATGTAAGAAACACATTTTAAGCCAAGAAATAACTAAGGAGAACTGTTACTACGCCTAGATTTTTAAGGCATCTACCCTTTTAAGATGTGGCCAAGGCTATCGTAAGATCAAACAGCTGCCCAAAGTATCAGAATGAGCCCGACTTATTCCTAAGCTACGGAGGAAACCCAGAAGGACATAAAGAGCATCTCTCTGCTTACAGCATCCAAAGAAAAGGCACAGGAAAGCGCAGCCCAAGTACAAGCAGGATTCTCCCTGGGCCTGCCGGAACTGCGGCTGGCTTTTATAGGCTATGCGAAGTGAGGACAAAGCAGCAAAGAGTCTGTTTACATTCCAGGTTAGAGATCTCCAAAGCCACAGCTGAAGAGTTTTCCTCCAATCTCTATAAATTTCTGGATTTAGAAGAACTCTGCCTGTGCCAAGAGACACATGGTAACTGGTCACTGTCAGCTGAGAACGATTTGAACCTGGTAAAAAACAATACTGCAAATGCTGGAAGGCAGAATGTATTAAGAGCCGTTTATTTGCTAGTTGTTTCCAAATGTTCTTTGGGGCTTTCTCCAGACTGTATGAAAGAAAGAGGAGTCAAGAATGAAAAGACATCAGTGCTGAAACAGTTCTCTCTTACCTCCTTTCTTAAATTGCTCATTTCCCTCCTCCTTCAGTCTAGTGCTCTCTTCTCTTCTTTTCTAAGAGATCAGAAAAATAAATAAATAAATAAATAAATAAATAAATAAATAAATAAAGTAAGTAAGAGATCACAGATTTACAGAATTTGTCACAATATTATTTTAAGTGAACAAAAGGTCAGCTTTCTTTAGGCTATTTAATAGGCAGCAGCTGGACTTAAAATTACACACACACACACTTTGATTTCAGAAAGGAAGGGAGAGGGACAAAAACAAGTGCTGGAGAGGATGTGGAGAAAAACCCCTCTTACACTGCTGGTGTAAATTGGTGCAGCTGCTATGGAAAACAATATGAAGGTTCTTTAAAAAATATGACCCGCAAGCTTCTGGGATCTATCCCCAAATTTGAAAACATTTATTCATGTACCTCTATGTTCACTGCAACACTTACAATAGCCAAGACATGAAAACAACCTAAGTGTCCGTCGATGGATGACTGGATAAAGAAGATGTGGTACATACATACAATGAATACTACTGAGGCATGAAAAAGTTGAAACACTGCCACCTGCAACAACATGGATGAACCTTCAGAGTATTATGCTAAGTGAAATAAGTCAGATGGACTCATGTAGGATATAAAACAAAAATAAACTCACACTTACAATGGAATGCCAATTACGAGAAGGGAGGAGAGGTAGGGGAAGGGCAAAGTGAGTAAAGGGGGCGAAATATATGGTAAGGGAAGGACACTAGACTTTGGGGGATAAGCATGCAAGAGTACACAGATGTTGAATTATAATGCTGTACATCTGAAATATAACATTTATATAATATTATTAATCAATGTTACCCCAAGAAATTTAATTTTAAAATTATAAAACAATTTAAATTAAGGTAAAAGTAAAACCCTATAATTAGCAAATTCAGTCCATTAATTTTAAATTAACACACACACACACACACACACACACACACACACCCCATATATCATTGTCGAATAAAGTGAAATGAAAAGTTGGTTTCACATTAGAAATATATCAATGCAAGGTAACATGTTAAGTTAAAAGAGAAGATATGCTCTCATGAATAAATGCACCATAGGTCTTATAGGTCTTTAATATAGTATTTATTTTTCTTTTAATCGTTATTGTTGAAAGTATTACATAGGTCTTCCTTTTAAAATATATTTTTAAAGATACTTTAAAAACACAAATTCTTTAGAGAAGGGCAATTCATCAAGTTAATGGAGTTTAATGACCATCCTTTAATTTCAGTCTCCTCTACTTTAACTCTAATTTGAAGCTACTTTTTGATTTAAATCTGTTCTCCAGGGCCAACTCGTCAGGAATGTTCTGACCACAGATGAATCACTCAGCCTACCAGGCTAGGCTCTTGTGTGAGTGCGTGTGTGTTGAGTTTAACTGTTCGTTAGTAAATGTAGAACATGAAGACCCCAATGGGCAAAGGAGAGATCCAAGGCGTGCCCAGAAGGAATTACTGATTAAGGGCCAACCTGAGCAGCCAGCCAGCCCAAGAAAAGTTCCCAGTGTCTTCAAAACTAGGATCAAGAGTTGAACTGGCAGAAAGACTCCGTAACATATTTCTATGGCCAATTATTCTCAGGAAGGAATTTCATTTTTTTGGCTTGACCAATCACAACTCGGTGACCTATTAAGCAGTAAACACTGGAAAGAAGCCACTGCTTCCACAGATTGTATAAAGTGAGGACTAATGCAATTATCAATATCACGCTGAACATCTCCTTGGAAACAGCTAAAAATACACTCTGAAGAGAAAGCTGCACCATTTCCCAGCTGTGCCAAGAGACTAACTTGATTCTAGTACAAAGACGAGGGTTTATTCTGCTGCTGGAACAGTTTTTCCCGAAAGGATGGCATGCGTACTGTGTAATGGTACTGGAATCCAAGGACAGATTTTATATGTATGTGCCTTATTTAACATGCTAAGTGCCAGGGGCAGTCACACATAAATGACTGCTGATACTCTGCAGCATTATCAGATGCAAATCAGTCCAAGCCCTGGTCTAATGTGGTTAGGAGACTCTCACAGGCCTCAACAATGCCTTTTAGCACATTCCAGAGAGGCCTCACAGAGAAACCTCTGCTCTAGGATTCCATTCCATCACAGTGGGAATCAAAGAACTTTACAAGGCTCTGTACTCCTCACTCCTCCCCATCACTGAAAACTCAGGGGAAATAGCGACATCAGTCTGCACTGTACAATCATCACAGGAACTGTCCAGGAAAACCCCCAAAAGACAGTGCCCTTCATAAATGCAGTTTATTTCAACAACTTCAAACTTTTCAGCCTGGTATTTAAAGTTCAATACAACATACACCAGTATAGCATTTCACTGCTTAAAATCTGCTGTCACATACATGACTCATTTGCTTCTAAGAGGAGGGCATGGACGTATTTAACTATCCATTTTACAGGTAAGCAATCAAGATTCAGAAATCACTTGTTCTTTATACTACATCAAACCTCTATTACAACCTACTCAACTTTACCCCCGGCTACCTTAAACTGAAGCATCCATCTTATATAAAAACGGCTGTTTGAAATTTTAACCCTGCTATGTGGCTTCTGTAAATGCTTGCTTGCTTAAATAATAGGGAAAATAAGACTAGTCCCGCTTCAGAGAGGCCATTAAACCTTCCCTGGACTATGTTATCAGTGCTGGCACCAGGCCAGGCCTATGGTTGAGATCTCAATGTCCCAGCACATAGGGGCTCTTTTTTTTTTTTTTAAATATATATTTTTATTGATTTTTTTTTTTACAGAGATAAAGGGAGAGGAATAGAGAGTTAGAAACATTGATGAGAAAGAAACACTGGTCAGCTGCCTCCTGCACACCCCCTACCGGGGATGTGCCCACAACCAAGGTACATGCCCTTGACCGGAATCGAACCCGGGACCTTTCAGTCCGCAGGCCGACGCTCTATCCACTGAGCCAAACCGGTCCCAGCAGATATATTTTTTAGTCTGCATTCTAAGGAAGATTATTAAATTTATTTTAAAATATTCTCTTAAATAAATCTGCAGTGAGCATGTATTTAATAGACAATGGGGAGAAAGCCACGAGATTCACACCAGCAAGTTCCATGTTGTAAATCTATTGGCGGCTTTCTGCTGCCCCCTGCAGCTTTGTAAAGTAATTGCTACAAATGAAACATTTAAGTCCAGCATAGTCACCCAGAGACCAATCACATCCAGGTAAACAAAGGGTTGAAAAAAATACACACCGGTTAAAGGGCTGGGAAATGGAGGCACATGCAACAACTTTCTGCTTGAGTCTAGGTGGGATGGAAAGCTATACACTGAAAGGCCAACGGACGCCAGCCCCACAAGATATTCTGAAAGGGAATTCTTCACCATTAAAAAATAAACAAATGCTCAAGTCTTGTTTTCTTTGAAATTGGACAGAGTTACTTTCCACATACAGACACATCTGTTCTTCCCACAAATCCCTCAGGAGCCCTCTGGGAAACCTGGAGGGAAGATCTCTGGATTTAAGCTTTAGTTGGAACCTGACTCTCATTGTCTTTTTCCGAGGAAAGATGATTGATCTATGAGGAATTAATCTTGAAAATATTCCTTTGTTTTTTAACTCAGAAAAATTCTATTTCCAAAACCTCAATTTCATAGAAATAAATTTCCTTATTTTGGTATTGCTTAAATTCCACACAGTAAGTCCTCTTTAGACCCTGAGCACATATGACAGTTAAAAGAAAAAAAATCCTATTAGAAAACTGTTCTTCGGATGTTGGATGCAGTCAATATAACTGTTAGATCATTATTTCGCTCTGGAAGTTAGACATCTGTATCAATCTGGCTCTCTGGCTCCCAAGTGTGGCCACAGAAATGACCTGGGGATGTAGACAAAGGGGAACGCCGGCTGCCACCCCACCAGCCTGTGGTCGCTTCTCAAGGCTGTGCACAGCTACAAAGATTCCTGGGATTCTTAGGCACAATGAAGTTTGAGAAGCACTGAAGGACACTTTACCTCTTCCATCAGCAGGTAATCTAAATATATTAACTTCCAAATGTTTTGGAGTAAACAAGCCTTATTTCTCCTGGTTTAAACTCAGGCACAGAAATCTAAGGTCCCTTCAGTTCTTAAAATCTAGGATTTCATTTAATCATTTGTCAATAGCATTCATAAACCTAATACTGGTAAACTCTAGGAAATTAATAAGACAACCGTAGTTCCAAAGAATGCCCATTAGGAATAAAATAAAAGGGAAACAATAAATCAAAGATTTTCCTATGAGGTTAACAGAACATGCATGCCACTACAGAAAAGTTACTGAAAACTTTCTGGAACCAACCAGGAGAATATTCTCTGCAAACATGCCACTCTTGCGGCATTGATAACATTATAAAAGCAATGCAATGAGGTGAGGCAGCAGAAACATGGAATCAGAAGGACTTAGGAAAAATGAAACCATAGGATTTAGGAAAAATAAATTTTCCTAAAATTTAAATAAAAATAAATAAAAATAAAAATTTTTATTCCTAATGGGCATTATTACAGTATTGGTTTAGAACAGAAATTTTATATCCATTCTCTAATGGATATAAAATTTCTGTTCTAAACCAATACTGTAATAATGGTTCCTGATTAAAAATAAAATAGCCTTAAAGGAAAGAATAATCCTTTACTTTTTCAGAGCCTAAGGAAAATGTTTTAAAATCCCAGAAGCCATGTGCTCTGGGTCCATGTTCACCAAGTAAGACTTTTGTATTCCTTACTTACATGGATCTTTGTTATGTATCTACTATGTGTAAATGAATACCTTACAATGAATACCTTACGCAAACAACTGGCACTATGAAGCAAACCCATGAAAATGACTAAATCTGCATTTTGCTTTTAGATTAACTTCATCTTTACTCTGGCTTATCCACCTGTTTCCTGTTGGAATAAGCTTGAAATTCCTTACCACAACTCCGTGTTCCATAATCAGACCCTCACTTCATCATCTCACCCTCCTCCTCAACCACAACTCCAGCTACTGGCCTGGCCCTTTAAT